TGCGAATCGGCAACTTCAGATCCACACTCCAAGCTCCATGCGCGCACTGGTCAGTAATGTTGTCATGCATCTCGCGCATCAGGATGTCTGGGATCAGACGAAGATCAGACTGCTTCCAGATAGCTGATCGAGATGGGTTCTCCATGATAAGCTGACTTCCTCTGCGCTCCAGTGCGGGCGCATACGTCTGAGCTGTCCATGTCAATATCGGTCGTTCGTAGTCTCGCCTGCTTTCCAACTCAACAGGCTCCGCGTTGTTATTTGATTGAGACCAGGGTCGACAGTAGAACTCCATTAGTGAAAATAATGGCACAAAGGCTTCGTGTAGTTCAAGTAGCAGCTGCTGATGATCTGGTCGATGTAGATCCCAGCCATAGCGATAGTCGATAGGTGGTAAAGTTATCAGGTGATTCCGATAGGCTGCACAAGAAACTCCAGAGGTACCTGAGAAGACTTCCACCATCAGACTCGTCTTGTGAGCTACTGAACGCATAGGCTGAATGAAGTCTCGAACGTGTTCTGGTCGAATCATTGGTAACCGAGATGTCGTGTAAAATTTCTCGTCCATGAACTCGTACTCTCGAGCCATTCGATGACAATCTGCATGCTCGAAGTTACTTGGCCATTCATTTTGAGAGTATCTGTTGCTGCCGAACTGTCTCCATACATCATAGAACTCTGTGGCGCCCTTGTTCTGATAAGATCCATACGTCTGTCTCGATGGCGGTGTCGTTGAAGGTGCTGCCAGTTTACTTATCTCACTCTGATTCTGCGCTTCGGGGCATTGTGGTTGACTGGCCGTGTGTAGCTGAACCTTGGGCTTCCGGCGATGATCAAAAGCTGAGAACAACTTAGATATCCTTTCCTCGATCAGGTTGACCATCTCCTCTACCACTTGCTCTGACTGAGGCTTGAACACGTCGATTGGTAGAAGATAGTGCCCAGAATCTGTCAACAATACTCGAGCCATCGTAGAGACTTTATCATCAGGTACGAACGCCAGGATGCCGTCACCATTGCGATACATGTTCTCGAACAGGATGCACTTTTGCTTGATCATGGTGCTGTTGGGCAGGAGGCCCGGGCACCTTGCGCCAGGGCCGCCGATCATGTCCGCCTGGTAGGTGGTGCCCTTCGCCATGCCTTCGACCCAGATCGGTCCGAGAAACTCGCCACATGAAGGGTCTGCTTGACCGTTGATGCCCGTGAAGGTCGCCTGAGAAGACCGGATGTTGTAGGAGATGCCTTCAGGCTGATACAAGTCCATGTTCCACTCCAACAACGTCTCCGTGCCAAGTAGGCCTTCAGCTGCTCCTGGGTCAACGATCAATCCATGTCGAGGCTTGCCTTTCACTGTATGCAGTATCGCGTAGGGGTCATCGTTGCCGTTCTTGCCTTCCAGGAATGAGCTGTGTCGCTGATCATCATATGTCGGCCTCTGCGGACAACCAAGCAATTGAAGTGATTGGTCTGCTTTTGCAGGCAATGTCTGCCGACAACCAGATATCCTAAATGATTGAGGAGATTCGTTCATCGTGTCATTGTCATCTGAAGAGTTCCTCTGGTCATTCCTGTCAGTGCCACCTGTGATGCTCACCTGGTTCTTCATGACCACCAAAGCGTACTGCTTAGATAACTTCTGGGCCAGCGTCAAAGCTGGAGCCTCGCTTGCCGATGATGATGCCGTCGTGTCACGAAGCACCGATCTCAGAGGCGTCCGGCTGACTCGATCATCCGGGAAAGGAGAGGCTGAACCCAGTATGGGTGGTCGAACCGGTCGCTGCCGTTCTGGTGTTGGTGCCTGCGTGTACCAGTCAGAAGGCTCGTCCGCGTCGATCTGATACGAGTCACCTTCTGGTACTGCACACTCGGAACCGGTAGCCATGTGATATCGCTCCACAGGTATTGTGCTTGCCGTCGAGGTAGTCGGTGTAGCAACGTTGATCCAAGAGCCAGGCGGCCTCGTTGTCATCTGTGGTGCCGCCGAACTCGATCCTGCGGATGCCTGTGCTGCAGTCGCGTCCGAAGTAGAGAGACCAACAACGTTTGCATAGTGACGGCTGCGTCCGCCTTTACCTTTGCCTTTCGTCGAGGTCGAGCTCTGCTGCTGCTGCTGCGGCTGCTGCTGTTGCTGTCGATCCTTGGCGGGGCAGTGAGCTCGATCATGCCATTTGCTTCCACATATATCACATCCGTCGTGTCGCTGACCTGCACCGCTCATGCGATCGTTGCCGTTGCCGCTGTGACCTTTGCCTTTGCCACGTCCTTTGCCTTTCATGGGAAAGCGCCGTCTAAATCCGCCTCGTCCTCGACCTTTGCCTTTGCTCTTGCCACGCTTGCCTTTGCCACATCCTTTGCCACCGTAGTAGGTGTCGTTGTCGTCTTGCTCTGCCTCGTAGTACTCCGTCATCTCGCCGCTGTCATCGTACTTGGCCCAGATGTCATCGTATTCCTGGAAGTACCATTCACCATCTGCTGTAGCCGTCCAGCCGAAATCCTGGTCATAGCCCCATTCGTATTGCTCGTCGTTGTAGGCCTCATACCAGGTCTCCACCATGTCGTCTGGATCGGCTCCGTCTCCCTGTTCACCATACCAGGCCCACTCGTTGTGTTGACCAACCTGGTCCTGTTTGCCGAGCCTCATCATCAGGCCCTGCAATACTCGATATTGGGATAAATCACCTGCCACGTGTAATTTCAAATCGTCGAGCCGCTTATCTGATAATCCACTGTTCTTCAGCAAGAAGTGACTGCGGCCTGTGTCATTCATCACCAAGCCGCCTTCCTCGCATGCATCTTCGAATGCCAGCTCAAACGATGAGATCCATGTCGGTATATCCTGATGATGTCCTCTCCGGCAATCGAAAAATGAGTCCAAGACAATGCCAACTCGGTCTTGATCATGTAATTCATATATTGCCTTCTGCTGATTCAGAAAGTGCTTGATGCCTGGTTGATCTTCTTGCTGATGGGGAGGATTGGCCAACTGTGCCGGCAGAGCGATAGCTTCATCTCCTCGATACTGAACTCCGTCTCGTACATGAGTGAATGACATGGCTGCGGTGAAGGGCGCGCCCTGAAGTCGTGAGACTATCAGCGGGCCGATCCGTTCATATTGATTCTCCTCGGTGATCCTCCACCACAGCTTCAGCTTCTGCATATATCGTCGGAACGTGTAACCTCTGATGTGCGGGCGCCAGCCCGGTGGAACGAACTTCGTGAACTCCTCGAGCTGAAGCGTGCCTTGCTGTCTGTCGCCGCCTTGCTGCTGGTGCGCCATGTCGGCGCCACAAAAAACAAAGTACAAGTAGTAGAAAACAGTGCCGTAGATCAGGCGTGTCCGCCTGAGCCTCCTCGAGGTGCTGGTGGTACTTCGCGTGCCCGCGGTACTCGATGCACTCTTGGAGGAAGTCGTCGTCGTGGTACCCCGCGTACACGCGGGACTTCGCGCACTGGTCGTCCAGCGCGCACTAGTACTTGCAGTAGTCGTCTCTGCCTGCGGAGGCGCGGGCACGCGCGGCGCTGGCCGCGCGGAGGGCCGGCCGACCGGAGGGTGGCCCGCGGAGCTTGATAGCTCCGCTACCAAAGCGGGCTTTTCTCGCCTTGAGCCACAGTATGTTTACGATTCCGTGGCTATAAAAAGTAGCAGCTAGGGCACTCTGCCCTATCCGGCGGTGGCGACGTAGGAAGCCTCAAGAGATGTCTGAAGTCGTACCAGGGGCCTACTATTCTCACTGGAGGAGGAGGAGGAGGAGGAGGAGGAGGGGAGGGAGGGAGGAGGGAGAAAGGGAAGGGAAAGCGGGGGAGCGCATGGGGAGGCGAGTGCGGCAGGGGAGGCGAAGGGGAGGTCCCGCTGGGGAGC